CAGTGAATAGAAGTTTCAGAACTTAAGTTATAAATATCAACTTAGAGAACAACTGAAGCCTAATTTTTGAAGACAGAAAATAGTGTAATGCCTTCTTCTGTAGAAAGGAACTCTAAGTTTCCCAAAATAATTAGAGAACTGAAGAGAAAGAAGCCTCATCTCAGAATCTGTAGTATGGGTAGGAAGTGGAGGCTGCAAATGTGCTCAAGGTCAAACTTCGCCCCTGTCTTCCCAGGAGACTGGAGATGTGCCAGTGAGCCCAGAGTAAATATTCACTCTGCCATTGACCCCTGGGAGATCCCTTTAAACCTACAGTGAGGACAGAAACATGAACGTCCTAAAACAAATCTTAAAAGTTCAGAGGGTGATCATCAATTCCCCCTTGGCACAAAGCAGAAAAATTTTTTCTCTAAGTTAAAGTAACTGCCTGTGAGAGAGATGTGTCCCACAGATTCCTTCATTACAGATGACACTCAATGCCCAGCCCTACATCCCTTGTGCACAATCCCAAGGAGTGCTGATTAATCCAAACCAAAGATTTTGATGTTTTACTGAACAGAAAAGAGCAGGCGTACTGCAGAGATCATCTCTAATGAACACAGCACCCTCATAGCCCACAGAGACAGTTCTTACCTTTATGACAACAAACTTTGAAAAGAACAAACCAAACCTCACATATATTTTCATTTTCTTTCTAATTTTATACCCCCTTCTTCATCCCCTCAAGCAGCAGGCATAACCAGAAGGCTCTTAGGAACCCTTTCCCATTAGGTCCTACATGGAAAGTAGTTCCCTACCATGGGGGTGGTTCCCTGTCATGAAGACACTCCCCACAATCCAGCCTTTAGAAACAAAAACATCAGGACAAGTCATCAGAAAGAGTGACTCACCCACTCCTCTTCCTCCAGCTGAAGCCATGCTGCCTCACCCATAAATCCCTGGTCTTTGCTCTTAGTAGACAAACCTTCCTACAGTCTCTCTGGCCAGAGTTCTATACTGGAAAAATCACTTTCTCTCAGGATACTGCCAATCTTCTTCCCAGTAGAATCACAGAATCACGTTTCTATACAGTTAAGCAGCAAGTTTGGTCCCTCATGAAGTTGGTTACTTCAGGGTACTTACTTATCACTCTTTCCTGAGATGTTCTCTGCAATTATTCAAAAGAAAACCTTTCATTCCTTCTGAAACTACTCCAAACAATCCAAAAAGAGGGAATCCTTCCCAAATCATTTTATGAGACCAACATCATACTGATACCAAAACCTGGCAGAGACTCAGAAAGCAAAGAAAACTTCAGGCCAATATCCGTAATGAACATAGACGCAAAAATGTTCAATAAAATACTGGCAAGCCAACTGCAAAAGCACATCAAGAAGCTTACCCAACATGATCAAGTAGGATTTATCCCGGGGATGCAAGGCTGGTTCAACATACGCAAGTCTATAATCGTAATTCACCACATAAAGAGAACCAAAGACAAAAACTACATGATTATCTCAATTGATGCAGAGAAGGCCTTTGACAAAATTCAACAGCGCTTTATGCTAAAAACCCTCAGTAAATTAGTTACCAATGGAATGTATCTCAAAATAATAAAAGCTATTTATGACAAACCAACAGCCAATATCATACTGAACGTGCAAAAATTGGAAGCATTCCTTTTGAAATCTGGCACTAGACAAGGAGGCTGTCTCTCACCACTCCTATTCAATATACTACTGGAAGTTCTAGTCAGAGCAATCAGACAAGAAATAGAAATAAAGGGTATTCAAATAGGACAGGAGGAAGTCAAATTGTCTCTATTTGCAGACGACATGATTGTACATCTAGAAAACCCCATTGCCTCTGCCCAAAATCTCCTGAAACTGATAAGCAACTTCAGCAAAGTCTCAGGATACAAAATCAATGTGCAAAAATTACAAGCATTTCTATACACTAATAACAGACTTAAGGAGAGCCAAATCAAGAATGAAAGTGCCATTCACAATTGCTACAAAGATAATAAAATACCTAGGAACACAATTAACAAAGAATGTAAAGGACCTCTTCAAGGAGAACTACAAACCACTGCTCAATGAAATAAGAGAGGACACAAACAGATGGAGAAACATTCCATGTTCATGGTTAGGAAGAATCAATATCGTAAAAATGGCCATACTGCCCAAAGTAATTTACAGATTCAATGCTATCCCCATCAAGCTACCAATGACCTTCTTCACAGAACTGGATAAAACCACCTTACTTTATATGGAACCAAAAGAGAGCCCACATAGCCACGTCAATTCTAAGCAAAAAGAACAAAGAGGGAGGCATCACACTACTGGACTTCAAACTATACTACAAGGCTACACTAATCAAAACAGCATGGTACTGGTACCAAAACAGAGATATAGACCAATGGAACAGAACAGAGGTCTTGGAGGCAAGACAGCACATGTACAACCATCTGATCTTTGACAAACCTGACAAAAACAAGCAATGGGGAAAGGATTCCCTATTTAATAAATGGTGTTGGGAAAACTGGCTAGCCATGTGCAGAAAGCAGAAACTGGACCCCTTCCTGACACCTTACACTGAAATTAACTCCAGATGGATCAAAGATTTAAACATAAGATCTAACACCATTAAAACCCTAGAAGAAAATATAGGCAAAACTTTTCAGGACATAGGCATAGGCAAGGACTTCATGACCAAAACACCAAAAGCATTGGCAACAAAAGCCAAAATAGACAAATGGGACCTCATCAGACTCCACAGCTTCTGCACAGCAAAAGAAACAGTCATTAGAGTGAATCTGCAACCAACAGAATGGGAAAATATTTTTGCAGTTCACCCATCTCACAAAGGGCAGATATCCAGAATCTACAAAAAATGAAAACACATTTACAAGAAAAAAAACAAACAAGCCCATTCAAAAGTGGGCGAATGATATGAACAGACACTTTACAAAAGAAGACATACATGAGGCCAACAAACATATGAAAAAATGCTCATCATTACTGGTCATTAGAGAAATGCAAATCAAAACTGCATTGAGATACCATCTCACGCCAGTTAGTGTGGAGATCATTAAAAAATCTGGAGACAGATGCTGGAGAGGATGTGGAGAAATAGGAACACATTTACACTGTTGATGGGAGTGTAAATTAGTTCAGCCATTGTGGAAGACAGTGTGGCTATTCCACAAGGACCTAGAAGTAGAAATTCCATTTGACACAGCAATCCCATTACTGGGTATATATCCAAAGGATTATAAATCGTTCTACTATAAGGCCACATGCACACGAATGTTCATTGCAGCACTGTTTACAATAGCAAAGACCTGGAACCAACTCAAATAACCATCGATGATAGACTGGACAGGGAAAATGTGGCACATATACACCATGGAATATTATGAAACCATCAAAAACGATGAGTTCGTGTCCTTTGTAGGGACATGGTTGAACCTAGAAACCATTATTCTCAAAAAACTGACACAAGAACAGAAAATCAAACACTGCATGTTCTCACTCATAGAGAACAATGAGAACACATGGACACAGGGAGGGGAGCATCACTGGGTTCTGTTGGGGGGAAATAGGGGAGGGATAGTGGGGGGTGGGGAGTTGGGTTGAGATAGCATGGGGATAAATGCCAGATATAAGTGATGGGGTGGAAGGGAGCAAATCACACTGCCGTGTGTGTACCTATGCAACAATCTTGCATGTTCTTCACATGTACCCAAAACCTAAAATGCAATAAAAAATAATAAATAAATAAATAAAATCTTTTAAAAAAAGAAAACATTATGTGGATGAGATTCTGCTATGCACTTCACATAGATCTGTTAGATCTCCCTTGGCACAGTTAGAAAACCAGGAGTGGCACAGTGGCTGAGCCATAGGTCAACATCCCCAAATTCTATGAAGATGCTGATGGAAAAATAAAGTCTTTATTCACAGAATTTAACTTTAAAGTTGACTGAATAGGCAAACACCGTGCTTAATGCAAGGAGGAAAACATGTTAAGGAAAATGCCTCTGCATTACAGCTGATAATGGATGCTGTCATTTAAAAACCTCCCAGTGTATCATGTATTCGTTGGGAAGACAATCCCACTGAATTTCACTCTCACAAAGAGAATTGCATATGCTGTACATAATGTACATTTTCAGATTTTCATATCATAGTTAACTGAGAAGAATCAGAAAAGCAAAATTTCTTTAGAGGATGAGGAAAAGGAGTCTTACATAGAGTTCCTCCTCCAGGTCTTCCTTTTCACAGGATCCGAGCCCAACTGTGCTCGCCTGGTCATCTGAAGACACTGGAAAGACACAGAGGAAAGCTCAGCACCCTGGTGGTTGGTGACTGTGAGTCACTCTGGGAGCTCTGCTAGATGTGGTGTATGGAGGTGGTTGATTATTAAGCATGGACTGAGTTGATGCTGGGCCATCCCCCTGCATAGAAGGGAGCTGGCAAGGGAGGGGAGCAGGAAAGAGATGAGACATGGAGGTCTCGGCCTTGTACTAGGAGCATAATGCAGCAAAACAAAAGAGTCAACCCAAAATGGAACTCAAATACACACTAAGGTTCAATGGAAGAGTGCCATTCTTCCTCTCACACATTTTGAAGCTCTTCTAAATAACCAGCGTATTCAAGACAATGTCAGTACTCTAGGACCCAATCATGCTGTTGCTACATTTAGCATCAGTTTTAAATAATTTATTACTTGATCAAAAACCTACATTATGGGTGAAATTGATTCAATTTTAGCCAAATTATTCTATTTATCGCACATTCTTTTTTATATAAGTCATTAAATAATTAAACACTAAGTGCTACAATTAAAAATCATAGTGATTCCTTTTGTTAAGTCTTCTTCTGGAACCATGGTGTGTACACACAACTTTTTAAGCTTCTGTGATCAGGGGCTCCAGCAGCTTCTGTGTCACTCTCCCTGAGGAGATTCCCTAAAAATCAGGCTTCATTCGAACTGGCCAAGCTCCTAGAGCCTGCTCTACCTACACCAGTGAAGCTGAGACACATGACTCTGAATACCTTCTACAATGAATATAAGTTTTCAAGTTCAAATACATGCTATCTACTGAAATGAGGAAATGTGTAAAAATAGAAGTGAACAAATTTATAAAACGTTGGCCATGAAAAGGAGGGTGATTTTTTGTTAACAAGTTTACAAGACTTTTTAAACCTGTTTATTCAGACATGTAAAATATTGGTATAAAAAAATCACAAATTTTTATCAGTTATATTAAATCTAATTTATCAGCTATCAATATAAAGATACTCTCATTTACTTTATGGCCTCCAAAAAATCTAGCGCATAGAAAATATGTAATTATATTTATTAGACGAAAACACAGAGAAAGAGAAGATGAGTCAGGCAGGCAGAGAGGATGACCTGGATGATAAGAAACTACATAAGTTTCCGGGATTAATATGCAAAGTTCCCTTTATTTATGCTATCCTCACTTGTGGAAGAAGGATGATAAAGTGAGCAGGAAAGAAAAGAGGAACAGAGTCCTTGGCTTAGTGCTAAAGTTCACCTAATGTAACACAAAATGTCTCCAAATGCTCTGTGACTCAGTTGCAGGGTTTCCTCATTCCTCCTACCTGACTTGAGCCAAATTGCCATTGTCTTTTTCATATGTTGCAAGATCATGCTGCTATGCATTTACATGAGATTTATGCTTGCATCAAAGCTAAATTTTATTTCCATTGGGTTGATGGCTGTCCATGTGACACTAGTCAGTCAAGGGGGAGGTTCTTCATCATGGGGGAGGGAGATGGGTTGAGAGTCTTCAATTCAGATATACAAGAAAGTTGCCACAACATGATGGAAACCAGGCTGATAACCAAGTGGTGCTTTGAGTTCTCATTTGTCACTCTCTTCAACATTTTTAGCTGGCAGGATTTCAGCATTTTAGGATTTCAGCACTCTCTCCCTAGTAGAGGCCATATTACAAAATATACTAAAATACATCATTGATTCTTAT